AGTGACGCTTAGCGGAGGTGCGCTGAATGGCAGATACTGAGCTTCTCCCACAAAGGTGAGGCACAGCCGTACAGCCCATAGCCCCTAAGGGCAAGGGAGGAGGAGAATCTCAGCGATGCCAAACACCCGGCCCAGTCCTCCGTGGCGTGGCCGTGAAGCACCAGAAACTGCACAAGACCTCAGCGATTCGAGCGTGACACGTAGGCAAACGTATCTTTGGGCTCTCTCCGATGCCTCTAGAGCCTCAAATCACTGGAGTCCTGGGGACAGAACTCTCCTCCCTACGACTCTTCGGATCACCGAGGCCGCTGCTTTGCGCCGCGGCGGCAGTTTCGGGATGCTTCCAGCCTCGGTGAAAGCCGGAGCTGAAGAGCTCTCAAGGCTGTAAGGCTGCCCAGGCCTAGCTTGCGCTTGCAGGCTTGGAAAGCCCTCCGGTGGTGCTGCTCCGCCTTAAGGCGCTGAAGAAGACAGTCCAAGACTGCTCCACAATCCCACGGAGAGCGGCCTCGGCCATATTGCCCTGCTCCGCCAGGCCTTGGCGCGGGTGTCTCGCGTGTCTCGCGTGTCTTGCAAAAAAACAGAGGGGCCGGCAACCGGCCAAGTTGCTCAGCGCCTGGATGGGTCGAGGGTGCCTTAGACCAAAAAAAGCAAGCGAGAAACAAGGCTGCCCCGTGACCACACGCTGTGAAGCCGGCGAGGGTGGGAGCACCACCTCCATGCCCGCCAGGGTCCGGCCTCAAGAACCGTCAAAGGTCGCGCACGCCTCACTCCCCGCGACTGCTAGTAGAAGGGAAGGCCGCGGCGCAACAGCTGCTCTGCTTCCTTTAGCTTGCCCTGGTCCTGCAAGACAGGAGCAGGAAGCGGGGCATGCTGGAAAACTGTCATTTGACATAGCTTGAGTCCCCAAGGCACAAAGCGAGGTTGTTCAGGCAGTGCAAGGTGTCAGGATGATGATGCCTCTGCTTGCCGGCTGCAGCCACAGCAAGCTTCCGGAGATCCGTCTATAGTACACCACGGGAGCCGAACCCAAGCGTTCTTCGCAACACGCCCAAGGCCTTCAGCGGAAAACTTTGCAACAGGGTGTGGCCGGATGCGTCCTCTCATCCCACACCTGTCGGTAAAAGGGCTCGCTGAGATGCGGGTCCTCCTCCTTCTCCGCACCTTTTTCAAAGCGCTGCCACTATCTCTGCCACTTTTTGGGGTCCTTTGAAGCCTCGGGCCGATGCTCACAGCCTTGCTGAAGATCGTCGCAAGCGCATGTGCTGAAGCCCCCTGCACTCGAACAGCTTTGCATGAAGCCGAGCATCCCTACTAGTAAAGCGGATGTGGGCCTCCATGCGAAGCAGCGCATCTCCGGCTGAAGGCGGAATGCCGTGCTTTTTTGCCAGCCCTGCGGCAAGGACAGTCTGGGGACTGCGACCCTTGCTGCAGCTGGCCACACGCCTTGCACGTAGCGGCAGGTCATCAAGGCCAGCCGGGCCGACGCGGCCTCTGGACAGGACCGGCCCAGGGCCCTCTCCTGGGTTTCATGCTTCCAACTCCTCTCCAAGCCACAAACACACAAAGACGAAACAAACACGAGGCTCAGGCAAAGGAGGCCAGGGCCCTGCTGTGAAGAGGCTCGGCCTCCTCCGCACGGCCCAGGTCCTCAGTCAGTGGCAGCGTGGACCGAGCTTCGGAGGTTTCGAGCCACGGACGTCGAGGCAGGAAGCCAGCGCCGATGCGGAGTGTGCAATCTGCACAGCAGCCGAAGACTCGCACTCCGGGCAGCACTGCTTGACACACGGCCTGCAGGGTATCGTTGCAATCCTTGCCTGCCTCGGTCGCCGCATCACTGAACTTTTCGAAAGGTGCCGGGAACAACACTCAGTCAGCCTCGTCGCTGTGGATGGCCTGTTGCCACAGCTTCGCAGCTTCCTGGCACAAAAGGAGGCTGCGGCGGCGAATCCTTGTGGCAACCGAAGCCACAAAGACCCTGCCTCCGTTCTACCGATGGACGACAAGAAGTGTCCCAAGCATCGCACCTGCCGTTTCGGCAAGGCAGGGAGCCCTGCGACGAGAAATTGGAGGCCGGGGAAGGCGCTGCCCGTCCCTCGCCGTCACTGTTGTGAAGCTCTCTTTCCAGTCTGCATTCGATCGCTTGGAATACGAAGCCTTGGGAGCGCCACGAACACCGCACGACGAGTGGTGCCGTTCCCGCTTGCCTGCTCCCTCCTCCACATCGGTCAGCGAAACGAAATCAGCATCCAGAAAGTCCTTGGTCGAAAGCTGTTCCGGAATGCCGGATCGAGCAGAGTACTTCTTCCAGGTGGCGCCATCGAAGTCTCTACCTGCCAAGCATTCTCGAGTGCCTCAGTTCAGCAGGTCTTCAACAGATCTACATACAAAGGGCACCTGAGCGCACCACATGCACTGCAGCTCTGCGCATCGACGACGATGGGCACATAGCACTTGCTGTCAGACCTAATGACGGCGCGGCGACATAAACACACATGTGTTGTCGCTACACAATCCGGGCACGAGGCTGGCTTCCTCCTGTCTCACCAATGCTCCCAGTGCTCCGCGGCCCGTGTCGTAGGGCAAAGAAGCCACCATGGACGCCTATAGACAGAACACACCGGGTAAGCCTGCACGGACCTGTGCTTGGGGCTCATGGCGGCCTGCATCCCTTGGACTCATGCCATCCGATCCAGAGATGAATTCGTAGAGAAGCTCCGCACAGCCCAAGAGACCTGCCAGCTGCAAAGCACTGCAAAGTCGCGCGCAAAGCAAAGCAGGGTTTGACTCCAGGCCTTGACCAAACCGGCGAACGGTGGACAGAGGCCCACGTCGAAACAGCAGCTGGAGATCCTCCCCCTGACATCGCACCAATTACCGCACCAAGAACAGGCTGAAGCACACGAAGCACACCTTGCAGCCCTGTCCTGTGAAGCAGACGGACAAAGGAAAACAGCGTGCCCCAGCAGCAATGCGCCGGTGAAGCTATGGCCTTGTGCGACGCTGCCCGCCATAACCCCAGGCTGCTTCTTTGCCATGCAACGCGACAGCGCCAGATGTGGAATGGGACTCGTGCGGAAGATGGGAAGGCCATCCCCGCGGTAGCCAGCGCCATCGTCTACCAAACTGAATTGAGGACCTCTGCTTGCAAGGGCACCGTAAGGCACCTTGCCTCCTAGTTGTAGGACTGTAAGGCACGAGGGCTGGCGAAAAGAGCATCCCCGACAGGTCTGCTCAGCTGCAGGCAACAAGCCGCAAAGTCCTTTCCGTCCAAATAGGAGCCACCTGAGGAGCCGGGAACTTAAATAAAGACTTGTAAAGAGAGCCTCTAAGAGTCCTAACTTTTCAATCGGACTCCTCTCTCGTTCAGAGACTTCAGAGCAACAGGGGCCCCGGGCCGAGAAAGAAGCTGCGCAGTTGGCCTTCGTCGGCGGCCAGGTAAGTGGAATTTGTGGGAGAAGCGCCTGCAAAAAGCGAATGGCGGCAGAGGCATCTCGGCACCCCATAATCTTCATACAACCGTACAAGCACGATTCTGATCTAACATAATGCCATATAGACCTGAACAAAACGACACTCTCACGCACTCGTGAAGGCAAGGCACACGTGGATGGATCCGCGCACTGCAGCTGCGGTGCCTGGCCATGCGCCCGCGCGAGTCCGAGTCCGCTCGGAGGGAGATCCGAGTCCGAGCCTGGCTCCCCGGCTCCAGGACGAGAGCTCCACTCGCCGAGCGCTCGTTCACCTGGGCAGGCCTTCGTCAGACTTCGTCAGTTCGGTGGTAGATCCCCAATCCCACCCTATTCTTTCATCGAGACCCCGACGTGATGTCATCGGCCAGAGGAGCGATCAGGGCCACATCAAGCCTGTGGAAATAACGCGGCAGTGAAGCAAGGCACGGCGCATTCCAAGTGCAATCCAGGATTCGATGAGCGATCCGGATCACCAGAGCACTTCTTCGATTCCGTGGTATAATTCTGCCGCGCCGCGGCTTCCGCAGCTCGTGCAGTCGCGCCCCAGCCCAGTGTGTTGGCATTCATCGCGGCTCCCGCGTAGATTGCTGCGGTTGCTAGGCGGCCCTCTGCGGTGGCATTCGAGGCGTCAGAGTTCTTCGGCCCCCTGGGCGCCCAACTCTCCCGCTGGCGCCAAGATGACCAGGCCAGGATGGACGTGCCGGACGCCGAGTCTCCCAGCACCGGGCTCGTCGGGCTCGCCGGAGGCTGAGGCTCCGCAAAGGCCTGTGCCTCAGTGGAAGCGGAAAGCGAAGAAACGTGCGCCTTGGCTGTTGGCACGATCTTTTTCGTTCTAAACCTTCAACATGCAGAGTTGCTTCAGGAGGATGGAATGTGCTGTTACTAATTCCAGAGGGCGAGTTTGTCGTCAGCGCAGCACGCAGAGGGGTGGGCAGAAGGCAATGCATGCGAGCAATGACGTGCCTGCTTCTGAGCATCTTCGAACAGAGCAATTAAGGCTTTTTTGCAACGGATTGGGCGAGTTCCGAAGCTCGCTGGCAACTGACACGCTTCATCGGGCGCAATAAGCTTGTCTGTTGGTGGTCGTGGTCGGATATCTATGCAGGAAGAGGGCATGCGCGATCAACGAGTGCGCGAGCTGCAGTGTCCTAGAGAGCAGTGCAGAAGTGCTGTAGATGTGCTGGTGGCAAAATGCCAAGCTTCCTGATTGCAAAAACCGTTCCCAATGCTACCCTCCTTGAGCATCCGACTTTGGATGCGCCACCCGGCGATGCCAAGACCTGTTGATGGGCATCAGTGCGAAAAGCCTCCAATGACGATAAAACCCGAAAAATTCGACATTTGCAGAGCCTCAAGGCCAGCTTCTCCCCTCAAAGCGGCCTTTGCTGTCGCGTTGAATGGGAAGCGCAACACACCAACACACCGTGCGCAAGCTGCGAAGCTTGGCGGCGAACGGGTCTTGCGCTCGCTAGTGTCGGATTGCAGGCAGGAGGGGCTGGCCGGGCCTCGGACTCGCAGACTCTTTCCGTTCGGACTCTCGCACTAGCGACGAGAGGCCGGCCGAGGCCGAGGCAGGCTTGGACAGTCTCACACAGCCATCGCCTCGAAAGCGAGATGGAGTCAGAGAGAGAGAGAGAGAGAGAGAGAGAGAGAGAGAGAGAGAGAGAGAGAGGGGGGGGGAGGGAGAGGGAGGG